CAGCAGGAAGTGTTCTCTTCATTCTCTTCACCTCTGGACTATAAGAGCCCTTTCTACCTCTGAGAGGCAAAGATGAGCTTCTCACAAAGAAGAGATCTTCCCAAAACAAGTGTCCTTCTCCAAGATAAGGAAGGCTGTAAGAGAGGACAGGGTTTATTACTGAAATCAACCTTATGAGTTAGTGATATTCTAACAGAAAGACTTGCAGTCTCTCTTTGAAGAAGGCCTGTCTTTCTGAAGGAGAAAAATCACCTTCTCTGACCTAGAAATTCTGTCTGTCTCTTTCCCTCCAGGGACTCCGTGAGGGGAGACTAAGGTGGGATGTAGGGAATGTCGGATGTACATCCCTCCTTTAGAATATGTTTCTAGGTGACAGTACAGGAACAAGAATTCCTTTTTTCCACCAAGGAGGGTGAAGTGACTAGTTGTGAGGGTGCCTCTGTTTGGAAAGAGGAATGGTGCCTCCTCTGATTAGGGACTATTTCCCTGGGAGGAGAAGGCCTTTCTTGGTGTGCTGCTATTCTCTGTCTCATAGGGGGCCTGTGTCCCTGGAGACCTGGCTGCTTTAAAGATTTATTCTCTTGGGACTTCCCTGGTGATCCAGAGGTTAAGACTTTGCCTTCCAGTGTAGGGGGTGCGGGTTCGATCCCTGGTCCAGGAGCTAAGATCCCACATGCCTTGTGGCCAAAAAACCAAAACAGAAAACAGAAGCAATATTGTAACAAATTCAATAAAGACTTTTTTAAAAAAATCTAAAAAAAAAAATTTATTCTCTCTGTTTTTCTGTAACTGATTAATGGAGAATAATCTTTCAAAAAGTGAGGCTCACTTAAGTACTCATCTATATTTCTCTCTCTCTCTTTTTCACCCATGCAAACTCCCTTTCTCTCTCTCTCTCTCTCTCTCTCTCTCTCTCTCTCTCTCTCTTTGGCCGCACCATGCGGCATGCAGGATCTTAGCTCCCTGACCAGGGATCGAACCCGTGACCCCTGCATTGGGAGCATGGAGTCTTAACCACTGGACCACCAGGGAAGTCCGGTAAACTCCCTTCCTCTTAGAGGAAAGGAACTGTGCACCTGAGGGCCAGGTTCTCCCTTACTTGGGAATGTTGGGGCCAGAGAGAGAATGATACCTTTTTCCCCTAGGGGGGAAGAATCATCTACTTTTTGAGTTTGGGGGACTGGTTCCCTCTCACCTAGGGGGAAATTTGGATCTGAGGCATCAGTAGCTTCGGGAAAAGGAAAGTGTCTGTGGAGGTTACAGCCTGGGAGGGCACGTTCCCTGGAGACTTTCAGACCATAGGGCCTTTGCCCTTGGGAATCTTCCCCTAAACTCCCAGAATGTGAGGCTCTCTCCTGCCTGCATTTCTCATCTCTCATGAAAAAGACCCCTTTGTGGTGGAAGCGCCAGCTCCCTGGTGGTGTGCTGGCACAGAGCTGGGCCCAGCTGGGCAGGAAGCAAGAGGGGAAGACAAGGAGAGATAAAGAGAGGGAGCATAAGGAAGCTGATGTCTGGGACCCAAGGGGTTAATTCTTCCTGGCGTTTCCTTAACCCCCAAGTTACCAACCATCACCCAGAACAAGGAAGCAAGAAGCAAGCAGGGGACCAGTCAGGAAAGGAGCCCAACAACCCCTCCTCTGGTCCTAACCCATCATTCCAGCCAAAAGGGTTACTCGTCCTTTGCAGTCCATTCAACCCAGAGGGCAGCCTCAGTAACAAAGGAATGAGGAAGTGTTCGATCTGTCCCTCAGGGACAAGCAAGGGAGGCTTAGGCTGTGAGAGACACGACAGATCTGACCTGGTGCTGCTTATTTTCTATAGGGCTTTTCCAGAGGGCCATCATCCAAAGTGGTTCTGCTCTGTCCAGCTGGGCTGTGAACTACCAACCAGTGAAGTACACCAGCCTGCTGGCAGACAAGGTAGGCTGTAACGTGCTAGACACCGTCGACATGGTGGACTGTCTTCGGCAAAAGAGTGCCAAGGAGCTGGTAGAGCAGGACATCCAGCCTGCCCGCTACCATGTGGCCTTTGGCCCCGTGATTGACGGTGATGTCATTCCTGATGACCCAGAGATTCTCATGGAACAGGGCGAGTTCCTCAACTATGACATCATGCTAGGTGTCAACCAGGGTGAGGGGCTCAAGTTTGTGGAAGGGGTGGTGGACCCTGAAGATGGTGTCTCTGGCACTGACTTTGACTACTCAGTCTCCAACTTTGTGGACAATCTGTATGGCTATCCTGAGGGTAAGGACACCCTGCGGGAGACCATCAAGTTCATGTACACAGACTGGGCAGACCGTGACAATCCTGAGACCCGCCGTAAAACACTGGTGGCGCTCTTCACTGACCACCAGTGGGTGGAGCCCTCAGTGGTGACAGCTGATCTGCATGCCCGCTATGGCTCGCCTACCTACTTCTACGCCTTCTACCATCACTGCCAGAGCCTCATGAAGCCTGCTTGGTCAGACGCAGCTCATGGGGATGAAGTACCCTATGTTTTTGGTGTCCCTATGGTAGGCCCCACTGACCTTTTCCCCTGCAACTTCTCCAAGAATGACGTTATGCTCAGTGCTGTCGTCATGACCTACTGGACCAACTTTGCCAAGACCGGGTAAGGAGAAATTGGGGGTTCTTCTTTGGGACCCCAGCATGCCCTCCCCTCTGCTCCTCTATCCAAACCTCTTCCATCATCTCCCTTCCTAAGACAGTCCCCAAATCTTGATTGGTAACCCCTTCATCCCTCTTCCTACATCCCCCTTTCTAGTCTTTCATGCCATTTTCTTCCCTTAAAAATTTTGTTGGGCTTCCCTGGTGGCGCAGTGGTTGAGAGTCCGCCTGCCCATGCAGGGGACATGGGTTCGTGCCCCGGTCCGGGAAGATCCCACATGCCGCGGAGCGGCTGGGCCCGTGAGCCATGGCCGCTGAGTCTGAGCCTGCGCGTCCGGAGCCTGTGCTCCGCAACGGGAGAGGCCACAACAGTGAGAGGCCCGCGTACCACTAAAAGAAAAAAAAAAAAAGTAAAAAACTTTTGTTGAGGCTCAGAACTCAGCATTAGGATTGAGCAGGAGTGAGAGTTACTGGCAGAACTATGGGATTCAAGGTTAGATGGTCGGAGGCCATGTGAAGTGGGAATAAAGTACATTCAGAAAGAGCTTTTAAAGGGCTCTCAGAAAAATTGGGCAGCTGAAAAGATTGATGGGTGCTCTGTAGCTTGTGAGAAGAAGAAGCATCCTATAGGTTGATCTCACAGGATGGCCGTAGGGAAGGATGAAATGGTTTCCATGATGTCACGGGCAATAGGAGTTCAAGGCCTGGGGACAAACAGGGGTATGGACAGAGGGAAGGACCCTGAAAAAGATGGAAATGGTGGGACATTTTGGACTGGGAAAGGGGTTTAGGGCTGGGTGTGAGAGGAAGAATCCTGGACACTTTCCTCGTCTAGGTAGAGTGGTGACCCCAGATTTCCATGTGGTATTTCAGGGATCCCAACAAGCCGGTCCCCCAGGACACCAAGTTCATTCACACCAAGGCCAACCGCTTTGAGGAAGTGGCCTGGTCCAAATACAATCCCCGAGACCAGCTCTACCTTCACATCGGCCTGAAGCCAAGGGTCCGTGATCATTACCGTGCCACTAAGGTGGCCTTTTGGAAACACCTGGTGCCCCACCTATACAACCTGCACGACATGTTCCACTACACGTCCACAACCACCAAAGTGCCGCCCCCAGATACCACCCACAGCTCCCACATCACCCGCAGGCCCAATGGCAAGACCTGGAGCACCAAACGACCAGCCATCTCACCTGCCTACAGCAATGAGAATGCCCAAGGGTCCTGGAACGGGGACCAGGATGCAGGGCCGCTCCTGGTGGAGAACCCTCGTGACTACTCCACTGAATTAAGCGTCACCATCGCCGTGGGGGCCTCCCTCCTCTTCCTTAATGTCCTGGCCTTCGCTGCCCTCTACTATCGGAAGGACAAGCGGCGTCAGGAGCCCCTGCGGCAGCCCAGCCCTCAGAGGGGAGCCGGGGCTCCTGAGTTGGGAGCTGCTCCCGAGGAGGAGCTGGCAGCACTGCAGCTGGGCCCCACCCACCACGAGTGTGAGGCGGGTCCCCCCCATGACACCCTGCGCCTCACTGCACTGCCCGACTACACGCTGACCCTGCGGCGCTCCCCTGATGACATCCCACTCATGACCCCCAACACTATCACTATGATCCCCAACTCCCTGGTGGGGCTGCAGACATTGCACCCCTATAACACCTTTGCTGCAGGGTTCAACAGTACCGGGCTGCCCCACTCACACTCCACCACCCGGGTATAGCTGCAGCCCAGAGCACAGCATATATCCTGGCTCTGTCCCTCCCGGATCCACGAACACACACACACACACACACACACACACACACACACACACACAGACATATATGTATACGCACGCACCCACACCCGACAGCAGACCCACCCGCACAAACATAGACAGATGTGGGCATGCACCCGCATGTGCAACAACACAAATAAGGAAGTAAACCTGAACAAACCCTTCAAGTGGGGACACAAACGAGTCCTTGGGGAACTGAGGACCCGTGGAACAGCAGCTGAAGCCGGCTCCCCGAGCCTGACCACAGACACTACTGGGGAGCCTGAAGCACCAGCTGGACACCCCCTTGGTGCTCGCCTTCCACCTCTCTTGGAACTGCACCACCGACCAACTCCAGACTTGGGAGCTTTAAAGAGCAGAGTAGCTCTTTCTCTCCCAGACTTGGTCTTTTTTCTGGGTCTTGTTTTTGTTGATTTTTAAAAAAAAATTTGGAACAAATGCTTCTCCAACCGATGGGTGCAAAGAAGCTCCGGAAGGGAGGGCTCCAGGCCCAGGTCTCTCTGGCTCTGGAACTCCCAGTGCTCACACAATCCGACCAAGGAACATGGCCCCCAAGAAAGAAACAGGTTCCAGCAAAACCATGGGGAGAAGGAGGAAGGGGGCTCTCACTGGATGGGGTTGGAGGGCCTTAGGGGGCAACTTGCCAGCCACCTCTGTATCTCTGCGGAGGGCTGCAGAGACCACAGGGTGACCTGCGTCCCCCATAGGCCAGGAGCATCGGCCTAGCTAGACCAGGCAGGGGACTGCAAATTTGGTGAAGGAGGTTTTGTGGAGGCCATGTGATTATCGGTGCCCTGGGTACAATCTGGGTTCTGCCTCTGCCCTTGGGGTAATGCTATCAGAAATTCACCCCATTTTCTTTACAGAGTCTCTTTTGTGTCTGTCATTTCTCTTTCAAAAAGGTGGTGTTTTTTGTTGTTGTTGGCTTTTTTTTTTAAAGAAAAGTTCTTAAAGCACTAACGGAAACCCACAGAGTTTGTCCTTTGTAAAAATTTTAAACACAGTGTCTTGATATAAAAATAAAAAATCCAATTAGCACTCCCAACCTGCCTCCCTTGCACAGGCCTTGCCCAACAGACCTCCTGGCAGGGCGCCTCCCTCTGCATCCTGTGCCTTTAAGCTGATACAAGTCTGGGCAGCACACTACCGGCCCCCTTCACGAAGGCCTCTCCAATCTTAATCAGGTTGCAGTCCCCACCCCCCTACCCCACCAAAGCTCTGGGTTCCTGCAGCTGAAGCCCTCTCTCAGCACCTCGGGCCTCCTAGTGAAGCATCAAAAAAAACACTTCCTTCTTCACTGCACCACTCTGCTGCCGCCGCCACCACCCGCCGCTGCCTCTGCCACTGCCACCATTGCCACCACCCTGCCCTCGTCCTGGACTGGGGGCTGGGAGGAGGTCTGCCCTCTAACGTGCTGAAATTCTTTTTCGTGTCTGAATCCAGTGCAGCATCAGATATGTGGACTCGCTGGCCTTGGGTGACTGACAGACAGGGGCCCTCTCCTCCCCAGAGATACTGGTTTCCTGGTCTATGAATTAGAATTGGAGAAGTCACTGGGGCTCTGGGAGCATTCCTCTCCAGGATGGTGATCAGTGGCTCCCTTCAACCCTGGGGGACAGATTCAATGGGTTCCACAGTTAGCCTTATGGTATCATATTATTCTCAGTGACTTGAAGGACTGAACCAGGAGTCTGCTCATCAAATGTGACAGTTGGGTGGGGTTGCTGACACCTCAGAAACCAGGAATAGAATTCTTCAAAGTGACCCTGACAAAATGAGGGAGATGAACCAACACCACAGGATGATGTTCAGAGGGGACAAACACAAGGCAGTACAAAGACCAAAATCGAGGACTAATATACTAATATGGTACATGGGGACAAGAGAGATGGGCAATGATTGACTTGACCCAGGTTAGTTAAAAAAGAAAAGAAGAACTGGGGGGAGGCTGGCAGGGTGGGTCACGAGTTGAATGAGTCTGAGTCCGTAGTGTAGAACTGGTTTTCTCTTCCCTCCCTGCTCCCTCCCACCCTCTTCTTTCTCTTCCTCCCTCCCTCCCTCCCTTCCTTCCTTCTTTCCAAAACTAACTCAAATACTAGCATATCATTGGGGCTTCCCTGGCGGTGCAGTGGTTGAGAGTCTGCCTGCCGATGCAGGGGACAAGGGTTCGTGCCCTGGTCCGGGAAGATCCCACATGCCGCGGAGCGGCTAAGCCTGTGAGCCGTGGCCGCTGAGCCTGCGCGTCCGGAGCCTGTGCTCCGCAACGGGAGAGGCCACAACAATGAGAGGCCCGCGTACCGCAAAATAAATAAATAAATAAATAAATAAATACTAGCATATCATAACAAAAATTTAGGATGGAGTCACTGGGAAGTAATCAGAGTCTGAATTTTTAGAATTAGAAGTAACCTCAGAGTCATGTAGTCCAACCCACTTATTTTATAATTGGGTAAATGGGCTCAGAAAAGCACAGTGTCACAGTGTTACAAACAGATCTAGAATGCAGTTCAGTAACATATGACCTTTCTCATGCTCCTCAACTTTCTCCACTCTACCTAGTATTGGTTAGGCCTTTGAAAACAGGCGTGGGTCTGCCCTTGGTCAACACATTTTCAGCATATGTGGAAAAGCTGCAGAGGGTCCGGAGAAGAGCAAAAACAATGTACCAAAGGACTAGGGTCTGTTTTTTTTTTTTTTTTAATTTAGAAAGGAAGAAGCTGATGAAGTAACATTCAATAATTGTAGAGCACCTACTATATGACAAGTGTGCTATACCATCTTCAAAAATGTAACTCCTAAATCAGGACAGAGCTGGTGATCTGTTCTCCATTTCTTCTGAGACAGATAGAGAGGAAAAGATTGTTAGGCACAAGGCAAAACTTTGCTGTAGATAGGAGCTGATCATGGCACGTAGTAAGTCCTCAATAATAGTTGCCAAATTGAGTGAATGACTAAGGGAAGCCATGGTGCTCACCTTCCTGAAGGCAGAGAGGGCTGGGTTACGTGACCATTTTAGATCAATTCAGAGTCTTTGTTGTCATGATCCTTTCATTGCTCCATGTCAGATATTACCAAATTGGGCCTCCTCTTCTGGGGTGTGTGTGTGTACCTCCAAATTAGGAGGCTTTCTAGTTGGGAAGATTTAGACATTGCTTCTCCTCTAAGAACTCAAGGTGCCATAGCAAACCCAGCTCCAATCCTATTTGGGACCCATCAGTGAGAGATTACAGTTGGTCTTCACACCTTCAAAAGGTCTGAGTGACCTCCAAGGCAGTCAGGGTTTCAGTCTAATTGACAGTCAGTGCTGTCCCGGGGTGCCTTGAGTGTTCTTGGCCCCCTTGTTGACCGCCAGCCCTGAGCCCAGCTAAAAAAGCCCAGGTTCTTGTTTAAAGGGCCGAGGGTATAGTTAGATTTGATTTCACACTGCAAAAATCATTAGTGCCTAGACCAGGTCCAGCCTGCATCCCTAGATTTATCTAGTTTCTATATTAGGCCTTTGAGGAGATGGACACAGCTATCTTGGGATCTGAACTTGTGGTGTGTGTGAAGGGCCAGAGGTTGGTCACTGGAAAATCTCTGTAGGAAGTGAAGACGGTTATCAGGACTGTAGGCCAGGCCCTGTGCTGGTTTATATACCATGAGGGATAAAACATACCCCTTTTGGTGTGCATACTGTTAGGAAGACAAAACTGAACTATGATCAAATGAGTGACATGCATAATCTCTGTGACTTCAATTGTATGATAAAGGTTAAAGGAGTTACAGAAATTGCAAGAAAGGCTATGATGAGATCTGGGTAGATGGGTGGAATAGTGGGCATTCCAAATTGGGAGAAGGTCCTCAGCCAGAGCACGGAGATAAGGTCTAGATGTGCTTGAGGAACAGTGAGGGAACTGACTTGACCGAAGTAGAGGGTTCAAGTTAAACGGTGGGAAATCAGATTGGAAAGGTAGGTTGTGGAGGTCTTCATAACAGCTGAGGAGTTTGGGTGTTACCAGATGAGTGATGGGGCGCGCTTTTTCATTTGCTAATGGTTTTACAGAGAGGAATCAAAACCTCCTAGGCAACCCTTGTGTTCCTTCTCTTCTGCAAAGCGAAGGATTTTCAGAGTCAAAGGGACAAAGTGAGCCCCAGAGAGAGGCTCCTCAAGGCAGTCTAGTCCCAGAGAGCCTTTAGCTGCTCTGAGCAACTCCATCTCATAGTTTAGGTCAATAACAGCCCAGGGCATTATGATGACCTGCAGCTCAAGTTGCAGGACAACTGGTGATGTCTTTGAAAACCCCATGGAGGGTGAAAGGGATGCACACTGCCGTGTCACTGAGATCAACGAGTTAAATATTGATTGAAGGCAAGATTCGAGAACAAATGATTAAAAGGAGGATTGGTGAGCACTTACAAAAGGAAGAGAAGATCACTCAGCCCCTGCATGGATTCAGGAAAAACAAGTCATTCCCCACTCAAGCTCATTTCCTTTGATAGGGTGACTCGATGGGCAGATGAGGAGAATGCTACCCCTACAATGTATTTGGAGTTCAATAAAACGTTCTCTCACCATACTCTTGGGACAATATAAAGAAATGTGGGGATTCTAAGCGATTCTTAACCAGTTGAACGACCACACACAAAAGGGTTCTTTCTGTTTTAATGTCACTAGATCAAATTTGAAAATTACGCATAGCTGGGAGAGAGAGCCAAAATGTGAGATGACAGAATAAGAGTTCATAGAGCTGTCAAGAGGCTGGTATGATATATACCAGTTATGAGGCTGGACTCACTATAGCAAAATCAAAGTTTACAGGGACAAATATGAAGTCACCTATTTGAATTCCAAAATGTAACAGTACAACCGTAGGAAGTGAGAGATGTTGCTTGGAGGGTTTTAGAATAAATGAAAACTCTTCATGATCCATGAGTCAAAAGCACGGTTTGGTTGTTACAAAAAGTATTGTGACCTTGGGCTGTATTAATAAGAGTATAACGTCCAGAATAAAGGAGGTGATCATCTTGTGCTACTCTGCACTGGTCAGACCACACCTGAGGTCCTCCGTTCAATGGAGGCATCACACTTCAAAGGACATGTCAACAAAAGTACAGCCAGAGAAAGAGTGGTGAGAATAGTGAGGGGACTAGCAAATCCCCAGAGAAATTTGTCTACTGTCAGCAAATCATTACTGGGCTCATGGTGAAGAGGAAGCTGTAGATTTATTCTGTGTATGACTCCAAGAGCTCTGAGATCTAATGGGTGGAAGTTACAGGAAAGCAGATTTTGGTTCAACAGAGGAAGAGGCTTTTTTTCTTTCTTTTTTATAATGAAAAAAAAATAATAAAAATTTTGGCTCATGATTCCAGCCTCTTGAAGTCCTTTTAAAATTTATTACCGACAGTTTCAAAAACAGAAAAGAGAAAAGTTCCTAATCTCAACAGCCTGATATAAGCATTTCGCTGTGTTTAGGAAGAACTTTCTAATGATTAGTAATAGTCTCTGAAATTAGAATAGACTACCCCAAATGGTAGGCAGCTCGCCATCACCAGAGATATTCAAACAGTGACTGGACAATCACTCCATGTGGGTGATTCAAAGGCAAAGAAAGCATCTGATAAAGGACTGTGCCAGATGACCTCTAGAGTTACTGGGATTCTATGATACATGAGCTGGAAAGTCTCATGATAAAGTATTCAGAAAAATATTACTGGAGTCTCTGTGCAGGGCAGGCTGGAAGCAGAGATAGTAACTGGTTGGGAGGTACCTACTTTGAGGGCCACAACGATTTTCACCTCTGGCCCCCACCCCTACCCCTGACTTGAATCCCCAAATTACAGTGTCAGAAGCTGACTTAATGTTTGCCTAATTCCTCACCCTTATGATCTGATGCTTGATCCCCTCTGCAACCTCTTTGCCAATAGTTATCTTGCCTCTCTCTGTTTAAATACCTCCAGTGATGGGAATATCTTGTCCTTTCAAAGCCAACCATTGCATAATATTTGGTCATCTTGAACCATCATAAAATTCTTCCTTAGGTTGAGTCAAAATATGTTTTCCCAGAG